TGGCCCCGGAAGCCCTGGGGAGGCAGGTGGCAGTTCTGTTTCCAGCCCCGAGTGTGAGGGCGTAGTGCCTGCTCCGAGTTCTCCATCGGAAGGATAAAGGCTCCGCAGGCCGGCCGCCGGGAAGGGCGCTTGAAACTGCCTTAGGACTTATTTATTTTCTTCTTTGAAAAAAATTTTTTTAAATTGTTGTCCGGGGTTGAACCCAGGACCTCGCTCGTTCTAGGCAAGTCTTCATCACCAAGGAACATCCCTTTATTTTATTTTATTTTGGGTACCTGGGATTGAACTCGGGACACTGACCACTGAGCCACATCCCCAGTCCTATTTTGTATTTTATTTAGAGACAGGGTGTCACTGAGTTGCTTAGCGTCTCGCTTTTGCAGAGGCTGGCTTTGAACTCGTGATCCTCCTGCCTCAGCCTCCTGAGCCACTGGGGTTACAGGCATATGCCACCACAACCAGCCTCTTTATTTTGAGATAGGATCTTGCTAAGTTGTTCTTTATCATCCCTAAAGCAAAGGGGGACAGTAAAACACCTGGGCTGGTGAGTTCAGATGCACTGGAGGACGCTGGCTTTCTCTCCTGCACCCTGGGCGCCAGGGCAGAGGGGGTTATCTGTAGAAAGCCACTTTCCTGCATGGAGGCCAGGGCGCTGCTCCTCGACGTCCTAGCAAGCTCAGCAAGCTCGTGCTGATGATGTCACTGCTTCTGCAGCCGAACGTGAGACCCTCTCTGAGTGGCCATGGGTGCAGAAGGGGGCACTGGGGAAAAGCTCGTGTCCCTCATCCAGGCTGACACCACTGGACTAAATGCCCTGGGGAGAAGGTGCAGTGATGGGTGGAGGAGCTGCTGACCTAGCCTGTGGCCATGGACTCTCCCTGGAGCAGACTGGTCTCCTGTCAGCTTTCCCCAGCGATCACGGCTCCCGGGCCGTCTCTGGGTACTTTATTCGGCTTTCCCAAAACTTTTCACTGGCACAGCTGGGCTGTGGATGTGACGGTTTCCCAGGCTAGCCTCAAACTTGCAATCTTCTTGCCTCAACCTCCAGATTCTGGGGCTATAGGAATGCTCCACTGCAAAACTGCCATAGAATCTTTAAACATAGTAAATACACGCAAAGCAGTGACAGAGAATCTTCTTAGCTCTTCCATTTCAGTCGAGTCTGGATTCAAGAACCACTCATTGAGGGTGCATTAAGTGTTGGATGTATCTGCTCAACCTGAGTTTGGGACAAAACTCACTTCTCTGCTTCTGCTGGGGGGTGAGGTCTGCATAAACTGCAGTCCTCTGCAGTTGAGAAAGTCCATTTTAGCCTTAGAGCTAATACAGCAGGGGATGCTTCAAGGGTCTCAGCTGGCAAAACCAGATTCTTCTCCACTACTGTGGAGTGGTATGTTGCAGCTCTTAATGGCAAACCCTAGAAGCTCACTGCCAATTTCTTTCTTGGTCCTTGTCTTTTGAATTCAAAGAATGAAATTCACAGATGAAGAGGAGTGAGCATAAAAGAATAGGATTTATTTAAGTGAGAACAAAAGACACAGAATTCCCACAAGCTGAGAGAGGACCTCAGCAGATTGCCACTTTCATGTACTAGTCTAGGGGCTTCTATGGCTTCTGGGTAGAGGCAATGGTCAAAATCCATGCTACACAGACATTGGAAAAGGCTGTCGGTTAGCTCTTGAGGCTGTAGCCTTAACTCAGGTCTGACCTGCCTCCTATTCCCATCTCCCCAGGATGAAGGAGTTGGCTGGAATGTTTCTACAGGTTAACTTTATGGAGTGGCCTTTACATTAAAATAAAAGAACTGGAATCCCGTAACTATCCTATCTTATTCAATAGCAAATACCACAGGGTGGCTAAAATAAGAGATGTTCATTCCCTCACAGGTTGAGGCTGGAAGTCTAAAACCAAGGTGCCAGCAGTATGGGTTTCTCCTGAGGTCCCTCTCCTTGGTTTGTAATGGACATCTTCTCCTTGTGTCATCACAGGGTCATCCCTATGTTTCCTGATGTCCTCCTCTTAGAAGGACACCAATCACGTTGGTTAGGGTCTCCCCTAAGGACCCATTTTAACTTAATCACCACTTTAAAGACTGTCTTCAAGTAGTTCCATCTGAGTCCTGTGGGTTAAGGCTTCAACATGAATAGGATTCAGCACAGAAGTGGCAAGGAAGTGTGCAGGTGGAGCCTGAGTGGCCAGCACCCTCCTTCCTCACCCTGAGCAGTGATTCTGCTCTGTGTCCCATCCCTAAGGGTGGCACTGCTGCTCTGAAGCTCTGTGTCCGGCTGCTTCTCAGCACTCCAACTTTGCCCCCACCTTCTTGCACCTGTGGGCAGCTGGTTCCTTTTGGCACCAAGTGTCCCACTGTCTAGCAGAACCTTGGTTTGCTTGCCCACCCCACTGGGCCCTGGGCTGATGCCAGGCTTTGGCTGTAATGGCTGAGCTGCTCTGGACGGCCTGTACATGGAAGGCCTTTTCTGGACACCCAGATTCACCTATCATGGACCAGGATGAGGGACGGATGCCCAGGTGTCGGTAGATATAGTTTAACTTCTAAACCAGCCGGCAGCTTTCAGAAGTGCTAGGGAATGCGCTTATTAAAGAACATGGCCGTCACGAGTTTCCCCTGGTTTGGTTCTGAGGGGGCATCTGGACAGTGGCCATGATCTCTAGCCCTTCCTTGACCAGGCTCCTGACCTGGGCATGAACATTTATTGGGAGCCTTTCATAGGGTATTTCCTTGTCCTGGTGACACCAGATGCCAGAGTCTCCAACCCATGACTGTGTCCCTCTCACAGGAAACTTGTTCAGTGTCCTTGTAGCTCTGTCTCTGACCTGTGTCCAGTTTATGCTTGCCAAGGTGGCCCTCTCTGGGACAGCCCTGACGGGAGGTCAGCTTTGGGAGGAACACAGGGGAGGCAGCTCAACAAAACAGAGAGAAGGATAGAAGAGCTCAGTCCTCCCAGATCCAAGAGAGGAGAGCAGGGTGCCTGGCGAGCACCCATGGGAGCTGTCCAGCACATGCCCAGGCAGCACATGGGCAAGAGCCTGAGAGCAAGACCTGTGGGGGAGTCTACTGGGGTCCAGGGTGTTACCTAAGCAGGGTCTCTCAGGGAGCTCTAAGTAGAGGAACTGGCAGGCGCCAGGTCCCAGGCACCTGCTGGGACTGAAGGTGGGCACCACAGCAGTGTGGGTCAGTGGGTGGGCCAGGCTGTTTTTCTCCACTGTTCCACCAGGGCGGGGGGGTGTCAGGGAGGCATTTTCAGGGAAAGCTCTGTGGACGGACACCCTGAGGACCACCCTGGGAGGAGGTAGGGACCCACAGACTCAGGGTGCCTGAGCCCTGCCTCTGGTGTGAGGTGCAGCTTGCACTCAAGGTGGGTGCCCAGGCAACAGGAAATTGCAAGCTTCGCGTGGCCATCGAGTCACTGATTTTTCTTTTACCCCTGCGTTGAACAGAGACCTAGCCTACACTGTCTGCCCTAGGGCTGTGTTGTCTATATAAAGTTCAAAAATCCCAAACCCTCCAAATATCTGCTGCTGGAAAACTCTTTCCTTTTGCCTTTCCTGCTGTATTGTGGAAGGAAAAAAATTCCCAGAAAACCCAAGGAACTGTGTTTGCTTCTGTCTTCTCCCGTGGCTGTGTGCTGAGCACCAGGAAGGCACAGGAAGGCCACCAAGTGGCCAAGAGGTGGGGAGGTAGCCACACTGGCATTTCCCATTTCCTTTCAAACCCTGAAGGTCCTTCTTGGTACCATTTGGGAGTTTGCTGGTGAGCCTGGGGTCATAGGGGGTTTTGCCCTGAGCCCACTGTCATGTGAGTTGGTATCTTCTGGGAGTGAGCCAGACAGGCCAAGCCTGTAGGACTTCTTGGACCGTTGAAGTCTGTTGGAAAGCAAACCCAGGTGGCCTTCAGCAGGGGGACCATCTGACTTGGTGCCAACTAGTCTGGAGTCACCTGGGAGACTCTGGGTCCCTCCATGTAATCCTTGGCCTCGGGAAGGATATCAGAGGGCAGTTATTTTTCTAAATGTACCCCAAACTCTGAAACGTTATCGAAGGAGGCCACTTGGTGCCCCTGTGGGTAGAGACCATGGTCAGCACTGGAAGGCTCAGACCAGTCAAGAAGTGTTTGAGCCATTGGATGCAGCTTGGAAGAACTGTGCCCAAGCTTGCCCAGCTGGAATGGAGAGGGGCTGCCCCTGGGCTCCACTGCCCTCTTGGGCGGGTGTGATTATCTTTCTTGGATTATCCAGTGGGTCCTAGCTGGGTAGCAGCCCTAGAGTGTAATTCATTTAGGTATTTAGTTTTGAAATTTTGTCTTTTTTTTTTTTTTTTTTTTTTTGCAGTGCTGAGGAAGGAACCTAGGCCTTGTGCACTCTGGGCAAATGCTCTACCCCTGAACTTCATCCCCAGCGTAGTTGGTTAGTTTTGAAAAACATATTTAATACACTTGGTCCATCCTACATGAGCTTGCTCCATTTTGTTTTCTGAGCATATACCTGGCTTAGCTTTTTGATACCCGACTGCAGGGTTCCATTTTGCCCACCAGTTACCCTGGCCCCACCCCAAACCCTGTGGGATGACGTCCTTCAGATAGCCAGCCCAGTGTGACATGTGGGCCCCTGACATCCACACTGTTAACTGATGCTGGACATGTTAACAGGTTTTGAGAAAAGCTACATTTCAGGTGACCATGGCCTGGCATGGTCTAGCTTAGCAAGTAAACTCCAGCTTGTTGCCTTAGGATGTGGGATTTCCCTGACTTGCTGCCAGAGTCTCTAAGTCCCCAGTGAATTGTGTGTTGTGTAACCCTGGGCCCATTTGCCTCTTCCTGGGGTCTCAGAGCGCCTGCTGGTAGTGGCAGCCATTCTCAGCTACTGACTGAGCCTTTCTCTTAGGAGGCTGCATCATCTGGACGCTGGTCATGGGGAGTAGGTGCCTTTCAGTGTTGAAAAGCAACAAGGACAAGGTCAAGGCAAGCACACAGTGACCACTGCTCAGTGGCTCTGGGATGTGTTTATTGCAACACGGCTCCAGCTGGACACACCATGTGACATCAGTGTGCCGGGGGCCCTGTTTGAAGCACTTAGGCTCATTTTAAACAGCAGAATCTTAAAAACTGTCCATGGAGCTCACTTGCAGATGATTAAGACCATCGCAGAATTCAGTGGGTTGAGCTGAAGGCTTAAATAGAAAAATCAAAGTGCAGAAACCCATTTTCCTATTTCCGTGGATGGTGTAGCTGTGACACCTACAGCGGCTCACACGGGGACAGGGGCTGCTGTGGCCTGCCCAGGTCGGCTCATCTAAAACAGCTGGATCATGGACTCTCTGGACTTGCCAACGCCAACCCATTTGACTGGAAGGACAGCAGAATGGTCACAACACACACATGTCAGTCATCTGACAGTGGGGTGATTTTTCTCCAAATGGAGATATTCCAAAGTTGGAAATTTAAGTGGAAATGTTTGACTGAAAGCGTCAATGGTAGCACACAGTGGGAGGTTTGGTCAGCCTGCGCCTGTTCCCAGGGCTTGCCACGTGGCGAGAACCCCCTGGACAGGGGTAACACATGCCTAGTGGCCATCTGCATCTGGGGCAGCTGTTCCTGGCAGGGTCACGAGGGCTGCCCCTGGCCACTGCTGCTGAAGTGAGCTGTCCCAGGAGCCACCCCAGCTCCGGCCCCTCCCCTCTTGCCATCTGATACACCCTCCTGGTCACTGCACCTGGCAGGAGTCTTATAGCCTCCAGGCCCTGCACTGGGACACAGGCCCCTGGGGCACCTGAGGTCCAGGGTGCAGGGAGGGGTGGCCATGGGGGCTCAGGCACCCACCTGCCACACCCACGTGATTCTCCACAAACCGCACGTAGCTCTGGGCCTGGGGGGGCAGGTCCTCCCACTTCCTGGCACCCGTGGTGTCTGCTTTCCAGCCGGGCAGTGTTTCGTACTCCACCTCAACCTTCTGAAGTATTTCCTGGTTAGCTGGGGGACACACGGGCAGAGTGGTCCCTCGGACACTGACGACTGCAGGGCAATGTCAGTGAGGGCAGGCGGCCCTGTGGCTTTCCCAGCATGGGAAGAGCAGGGGGCAGACACTGGCTGTGCCCTCCAGGCCAGGGCACACCCACTGGGGACACGCACACAGCACTGCTCTTCAATGAGGCCCCACCTGGAAATCTGAATTCTGAGGCAGGAGGCACCCTGAGGGACATGTGCCCCTGCCCAGGAGCATCAAGCCTCAGGCACAGAGACACCTGCTCTGTGCTGGGACACCATGGCCCAAGGTGGTGCCATCCCTGACTCGGGGAAGATACTGGAATGAGTGCCCACCAAGGGTTCCTGGGTCCTGGTGCTCACTGTGCACAGAGCCCTGAGCACCAGGAGGAGACTCAGCCTCCCAGCCACATGCTCTCAAAGGTCAGGGGTCAACATGGCCAGGAGGGCCCTGAGGACACACGTGGCTCCTGTAACCAAGGGGCACTTCCATGCATACCCAGGTCTGCTCAGAGGTTGTAAGCCAGGGGCAGTTACCCCGGCCACTGCAGAGGAGGCTAAGGAAGAGCAGGTCAGCATGACCCTGGGTGTGAGGCTGAGGGGAGCCTTCTAGACCATGGGCACTGGAACCCAGGAAAGCAGCACCCCTTATGCTTTCCAAAGGAAGGGATGCCCAGTGGCCAGAGCCCAGGAGATCTTCAGACTCCAGCCAGGACCAGGGGCCTGGTGGTGGAGCGCGTTCCCCCAGCCTGGGTTCCCCCAGCACCGAAATGCAAGGTCAGTACAGCTAGCCACAAGGCATGCTCGCTGAGGGGAGGGCCAGCTCCATGTCCCAGTTTTCCAGAGCAGTTCACGTCCACTAACTCATGGGGCATTGCCCTTCCTGGAGGAGGTCCTCCTCTGCCGAAGTGACTGAGGGTCCCCAGGGTCCCCAGGCAATGACTGTAGGTAGTCAGAAACAGTCCTGTCCCCTGAGCTATTCTCAGGCCACCAGAAGGCACTGCAGTCAAGACCCACCTCCTTCCTGGCTCTGAGACCTGGTCAGGCTTCCCCAAGAACCCGTGAAAGACCAAAGCCAGGAAGGACGTGGGTCTTTGGGGAGCAGCAGCCCGCCCTCTGCCCGCTGAGCCGGGAAACCCCTCGGTCTCAGGAACCTCGGGTCGCCTCCATCAAAGCCAAACAGATGTCCCAGTGGACAGAAAAACAGTGGCTCATTCCAGTACCTGGGAAGTAGGGGATCCTCTTTCCATTGAGCTTGTACGAGACGCCGACTTTGATCTCACCCAGGACGTCCAGGATGTCCAGCTTGGTCAAGGCTAGCCTGTCCAAAAACCAAGAGACATCAGCAGACTGTCAACTGAGAATAAAGACGGGTGATCCCCAAAGAAATGTGATTGATGAACAGGCCAGGGGGCAGGAAGCCCACCTCAGGGCTGTACCCTGCCTTGACCGTTCAAGGATGCTCCCCTTCCTTGAGTGTCCCCACGGGGAGCCCCTTTCCCCTCATCTCAGCTTTCTCTGGCTGTCAGAGCTCCCTCTGCCTGTGCCTCCTGCCCCGTGGGGCCCGCAGCATGGCTTGTGTGGGGTCCCAGCCCTGTGAGCACAGTCCCCACCCAGGACGACTCTGGTTAAGTCTTGAACCCAACAGGGACCTTTCCACCTGGTTGGAGGTAGCTCACGACCCTGGCCTGTGTTGCCAAACTGGAGATGAAGCAGTGAACCCTTGGTCCAGCAAGCCTCTGTTCCCAGGAGACGGTCCTGAGCAACTGGACCTCAGGGTCCTTACAGAGAACCACTGGAGGCTGCCCTGCCCCGACTGCTGCACCCCTGGGAAAATGCCCGCAGCCGTTCCAGCTGGCAGCAGGGGCCCCTCGGGCTTCTCCCCCAGGGCCAGAGAGGCTTTTCCCAAGGGCTGTGCGGCTGGGGCTGCAGCGCTCTGGGTCCTAACCTCAGGTCCCACTCAGGTCCCCTCTGTGGGATCCACCCACGTGGGGGAGAGGTATCTGGCGCTTCCCAGGTGGCCTTCCCATGGATCAGGGGTTTGCGCCCTTCCTAGGAGTCAGCTCTGGCGAGCTGAGGAGGGGCTGCTTACGCCGTGAACCCGTTGACCATGTGGGCGTATCTGAGGATCATCAGGTCCAGCCAGCCGCAGCGCCGCTTCCTGCCCGTGGTCACCCCCCATTCGTGGCCGCGGTTCTGCAGCAGGTCTCCGATTTCCTGCACGAGGACAGAGAAGACGGTCCACGGGAGCCACGATGGGAACCGTGACAGGAGCGGTGTGTCCTCTCCTCTCCGCCGGCTCCTCCTCTGCCCTCCTCCTCCTCCTGACCCGGCAGTCCTTGAAGGCGCCTCTGAGGCAGCCGAAGCGCCCCACACCTCCACGTTCCTGGCAGCCACATCCCCACCTGGGAGCGCAGTGGCCGGGCCTTGCTGCCCAGTGTGGTTCTGGGCTGGCAGAACCTTGTCCCCAGAAGGCCAGGAGCCGGCCATCTTCCCTCCTGCTTGGGCGAGGACAGGTATGCGTGGGGCCTGGTCCTGCAGCTGGACTTTGCGGGCAGGGGGTGTGCTTATCTCCTCCTCCATGCCCCTGCCCACCCGGGAGCTGCTTGCCTCTGCATGTGAGCCACAGCTCCCCAACTCTGGCACCTGCTCCTCCCCCCTGCTCTGGGACGAGGCCCGTGGTCATCCCACCCTGCCAAGGTGGGTGAGACTGGGGAAGGAAGGCCAGTGGCTCCTGCAGATTCGGAGCCACCGTGGCTTCCAGAAGTGCTCTGAGGTGGGGAGAGGGCTGTGCGTTCAGCCCTGATTCCTGTGCTTGGTGGACAGACACCCTAGTTGGATGAGGCCCAGAAAAGGACAAAGACAACCCAAACCCCGGAGAGGCCCAGAGGACATGGGTGTCCCTCTGAGCTGGGTGGCTAACCAACATGAGGGTGCTCTGAGGGGTTTGAGGTGCCCCCACTTGCCCGTGGGCCTCACGAGTTTCCCGGGGTAGTGGTGGGCGCACACGTGTGCACACACGCACACACACACACACACACACTCTGGCCACAGTGCTGTTGCCGTTGAAATGGTGCAGGAGCCCTGCCTGTGCCACAGGAGGGCCCCACTGGGGGGTCGGGCATGGCCAAGCAAGGTCCCTGCGGCTTCCCACACAGTTCCACCGCCTGGTGCTGGATCTGGCACTCACATTGATCTGCTCGGTGGGGAAGGCTCCGATGCCCACGCGGGTGGTGTAGGCCTTCACCACTCCGTACACGTCGCCTATGTTCTGCGGGGGGATGCCCAGGCCCGTACACACGCCGCCCACCGTGCAATTGGAAGAAGTCACAAAAGGGTAGGTCCCTGTAAGACAGAGGACTGGGGCTGCCCTCCACCCTGCGGGCCTGGGGCCCAAGACCTTCTCCACAAAGAGGGTCAACAGGGCCAGGGGTCTGAGGGGCTGTCCTGGGGCAGTGCCCTGCATGGGCACTGGGTGCTGGGCCTTGTGGCTCACATAGGAGTCTGGGTGAGACTGAGGCGGCCTGGCTGCCCGACAGTGTGGCAGACTGTGCCTCGTGGAGCAGGGACAGAAAGCACCCAGACTTGCTGGGCCCCTGGTCCCCGTCCTGGCCTCTCTGGCTGCCAATTCCTTCATCTCTAGCTCAGCCCTTCCCTCTTTCCTCTCCCAGCTGAAATTAGGAGGACGGGGGATGAGGGATCTCACTCATGCAGCCTGAGGGTGTGACTGCTTCACCCCCCACCTGCTTCTGCACACAAGGCCTGTCAGGAAGCATGGCCCCTGGGTGGCGGCTCGGAGGGGGACGAACCGAAGTCAATGTCCAGGAGGGCTGCATTGGCGCCTTCCACCAGGATCCTCTTGGGGGGGCCGTGGAGCGCCTCGTACATGAAGTACACACCGTCGCGCACCATGGGTCTGATCCGCTCAGCAAAGCCCTGCGGGTGCGGAGGGTAAGGCCAGCCTCCCAGGCAGCAATGGCATGGGACGGGGCCTCCCACCAGGCGCCTTGCCCAGGCCCCAGGGTCACCTTGAGCCTCTTGAGCTGCCCTTCCACGTCTACTTCCAAGGTGGGGAACATGGACTGGTGCTGCTGGGCCAGGTTCTTGAATCTGCACGAGTGACCTCGCTGTGACCCCTGACGGTCCACACGGGGAGCCGCACCCCTGCCTGGATCCGTGTGCCCCCCAACCTCCCTGCCGGCCCGGGGCGTGGACGTGCAGGCACCTGGTGGAGAACTCCTCGAAGTCCGACAGGAGGTCACAGATGCGGAGGCCCGTCCGGGCGGCTTTGGAGGAGTAGGTTGGTCCGATTCCCTTCTTGGTGGTGCCGATGCTGAAAGACGGGGATCCCATGCTTCTGAGGCCCCCGCTGACCCTCGCTGCCGCCTGCAGAGCCAGCTGGGGCTGGTGGGCAGTGTGCTGAGCCCAGGCTCGCCCCCTCACCCCAGCAGTGCCCTCTGCCCTGGCCACCCCACCTGCACCCCACCTTGGCTTCCTGAATGGGGGGCACTGCATGGGCCGCCTGTGTCCATGCCTCACACAGGCCAGTCGGAGCCCCAGGAGCCAGCGCACGAGTGAGACCATCATCTCCCAGGGCAGGATGCGGGTGCTTCACCCCGGTCGCCCCGCGCGTCCACGGCTCTGATGGACATCTCTGAGTGGATGAGTGTGTGGCCATTGGGTGTGCAGGGACAGGGTCCTGGTGTCACAGTGGTGCTGGCTGGGCAGATGGCCGGCTCTTTTCAGCTCCCTGTGGCCAGGCCACCGAGGGGAGGCAGGGTGTGGCCCGAGAGGTGGGTGGCCTAATGTTCTGGAGGGTGCTGTTCTGTAGTGGCTTTGAGTCGGTTGGCATCCTGCCCCTGGGACTGGATGCCCCCCAAGGCCGCCAGCTGGGGGATGGGGGCCGCAGCAGTTGCGCCTGGGTACTCACTTCTTGCCCTCCTGCGCCTGGCGCTGCACCTCCTGAAGCCCGTCCACGGCCTGGTGGAAGTCGAACACTGCGGGCCGCAGGCACCGGGGGCAGGGACAGCAGAGGACAGAGCTCAGCGGGGCCCGCCTGCGGCAGGTGGCCACTGGGAGGGCGTGGGAGGGCTTGGGTGTGACTGTCACCCTGGCCAGGAGTAGACGCCAGAGTCCCTGAGTCCCAGGCTGCCTGTGCCCTAGTCCCCTGTCTGCAGATGGGTTGGTCCCGGCTCCCACTCAAGCTCTTTGAGAAAGGCAGGGGCGAGGGAGGGAGAGGGGGCCTCCCGGGGTGAGGGGGTGGGGCCCCAGCCCCCCCAGCCCCCCAGTGTGAACCTCACCCAGGTGGGCCCGGTCAGAGATGATGAGCCTCTTCTCCCAGTCCTTCAGTCCTGTGGGGACAGGGCACACAGGCTGGCTGTGCTCACAGGGGCACCGTACTCGGGTGAGAAGTGCCAAAGTCGGCCAGCACACCGGCCATCCTTGGATGAGCACGTGGCCAAGAGGCCAAGAGGGTCCCCTACACCGTGCAGCAGGTGACCACTCTGACCCCTGCCTCTCCCCTGCTGAGCTCTGGGAGGACAACCCTGCAGGCCCCGGGCTCTTCCTGCTCCAGCCGCCCTTCCTGGACTTCCTGAGCCTGAGGCTCCAGCGTCCACCTGCCTGTGACGCTGAGGCAGTGGCCTGAAGCAGGCCTCTAGGCTGCCCAGCTGCTGCCCACTGGGCGAGGACCCTGCCTTCTGCATGGGCAGAGACGGGGCCCAGCTGGAGAGGCTGCCCCGCCGGCTGGCCCAGTGCGCGCGGGCGGGCAGGCCTCAGGGACCCAGCTTACCTTTCTTCTCGTTCTTCTCTGCCTCTTCAAACAAGCCGGGCAAGTGGATGACCACGCCATTGCCTGCAACACACCGACAGGGTGGGGTCGCGTCGCAGACCCTGAGACACGCTGCCCACAGCAGGCAGGGCCGAAGCTGCCCAGGTGTCTGTCCAGGGATGGGCAGATGAGCCACATGGTCCAGCCCCACACCGACTGTAATTCAGCCCTGAAAAGAAGCCTCTCACCGCACGGTGGCCGTGGGTGTGATGCTCAGTGCAATCAGCTGGATGGATGCTGTTGCGCGGAAACCAGAGGCTCCCATTCCAGGAGGCCCCTGCACTGACCAGCGCAGGGACAGAGGCAGAGGGCGTCTCCCAGGGGTGGGGGAAAGGGCGGGCAGGTTTCAGGTCTCAGAGCTTCAGTTTGGGGCTATGGGAGGCCCTGCGGGTGGATGACATGGTGCTCACAGGGTCGTGCTCCTTGGGACCTGAAACCCACCCACACAGAGCCTGCCTGGGGCGCTCACGGCAGCTGTGCTCAGGCTGCCAAAGCCTGGAGGTTACTCGGTGTCCTTCAGTGGGCGAGTGGAGGACGAACTGCACATTCAGGCCACGGGACGTCACTCAGCACCACAAAGAAAGGAGCCAGGAAGCCACAGAGGGCACGGGGACCCTGAAATGCAGACTGCACAGGAGCAGAGCCCCAGCCGCACTGCCCGGTGCTGCTCCCGGGGCAGGTGAAGGCACTTACACCCCAAAGCTCAACTTAACTAACCCCATCTTCAGTCACCAGGAAAGGCAAAGGCATGAGGTGCACACTGGCAGAGCCAGGGTTGGGCGAAGGCGTGCTGAGCAGGGCACAGGGGCTTGGTCCATGGCCCTGTCTGGTGCTGCGCTGGTAAGTCCTGCACACATCCTAGCCCACAGAATCCAGCAGAAGCCGTCCTCAGGCAGCCAGCGCGCCCCCCTCCCCCTGACCCCCAGCAATAGGCACACGCCAGTCTGCACGAGCGCAGGGCATCAGGAAACCCGTCCCCGCCTCTCAAGTCTGCTGTGACCCTCCAACGGCTCGGAGACACAGAGTCATTCAGAACCACTAATAGTGACCACCGTGTCTGAGCGCAGTGGAAGCAGCCCCCGGGCCAGGTGAGCACACTGCAGTCAGGCTGCCTGCGCGGTGGGCGGCACTGTCCCCGTGGCTCCTGGGGCATGAGGGTGGTCTGCCGTTGAGGTGGGGGGTGTGGCACAGCTGTGCTTTATGATGTGCCAATCACTCCTCAGTCTGGCTGTTATTTTACTGAAATGGCATGAAAATGGGGAGCACAGCCTGGGAGGGACGCAGCCCCAGCGTGCCCCAGGAGCAGAGCGGCACCTCCCCCGGAGACATGCTCTTCCCAACGTGTAAAACAGAGATGTCCCACATAGGCAAGCAGAGGCCCAGAGAGGGAGGGTGACTTGCCCAAGGCCACACAGCACACTGGTAGAGTGTGGGCTGGGGGTGCTGAACTGGAGCCCTCTTCTCCAAGGCCGGAGGAGGCACAGTGGAGACCGAGGCTGCCTTCCCGGGGGCTCCCCTCCCTCTGCTGGTGATATGGGGCTGACTGCGGCACGGGGTTTGGCCAAGGGAGGCTGACTGACCCCAGTCCAGATGGGAGTGACTGGCCACAGGGAGCACAGAAGGTCACCTAAATGCCACTATCTCAAAATAGCCATGTGAGAGGCAGGAGTGTCACCAGTGAAGGGCTTTGTGCAGGCCTTTGCGTCTGCCCCTGGTGGGACGAGCCTCTGCAGGGGGCCGTCCTTCCTCTGCACTGACCACAGAGCCTGCTCTCCAGGTGTTCCCAGTGACCACCCGGCCTGTCCTCAGAGGCTGGGCAGCATGCCATCCCGGGCCGGCCGTGGCTCCTTGGCCTCGTTTCCTGCCCGGCACGGCCCGGGGCCCAGCAGAGCAGGGCTGGCAGCCAGTCCCCTGCACTACTGCCCAGGCAGCAGGTTGGTACCACGTCACAGCTGCCTGGGAGCGGGGGACAGGAGCTTGGGACACAGAAAGGCGGTCACCTCACTGGGCTCTGGGTTCTTTGGTGTGAAATGTGGATCGTCACTGCGGCAAGGGACAGAGATGAGGGCTGCACTGGGGGAGAGGCCCCGAGCCTCTGAGCTCTGGCGGGGCTCTGACCGTTCACGGCCACCTTGGCCAGGTCTTCCTTCCCCAGCTGGTCTACAGTGGCAGGCCCCTGTGCCACCAACTGGGCACAGACACAGCACTTCCTGACCTGGCTGGCGGTCGGTTGAGTCCCCAGTGTGCCAGGCAGAGCCGGGAGGAAAGGGAGAATAAGGGGCTGAGAGCAGAGGACAGGGCCGCTGGGCGCCTCTGACTGGCCAGGGGGCAGGAAGGAAGAGAGGCAGAGCCACAAAGTCGTGGAGACTGAGGTGGCACTGCAAGGTCCTGGGTGGCTGCAGCAAGGTCAACAGGAGGAGGCAGTGCTGAGGTCAGTCAGCGGCGGGAGCAGCAGCCCCTCGGGCAGGGCCAGTGAAGCACAGCCGTCCACACAGCCCACACCTCACACAGCGGGCCCCCGCATACACACAGGCAGCGCCCACACTTGCCCCGCGTGTGCCAGGGACGGGAGCTCACAGGGGTCCCTGCTCAGCGACCCCCTGCAGCCCCGCCCCAGGGCAGGCCCAGCCTGTGCCAGGATTCTGGCCGCAGGGCCCTGGGGACAGGCCAGGCCAGGCCCCTCTCAGGGCCCCCCCCCGCATTGACTACCTCCCAGTTCAGTTTGCGCTGGGGGCAGGTGGCCTCCACCCTCCCTGCAGGCTGAGCTCCTGGGCCCCACGCTCACAGCCTCCTCCGAAAGGCAGGTGTGGGCTGGTCCTGGGGACACTCACCAATGAAGGACACGGCCTTGGTGTTGATGATGCCGCTGGGCAGCAGGTGGAAGTCGTACTCCTTGCCGTCCACCACCACCGTGTGGCCAGCATTGTTGCCCCCCTGGGAATAGAGACACGGCTGAGCAGGAGTTGAGGACTGACCCTGGGGGCTGCTCAGCTCCCCACCTCACTCCAGGGCCAGCGCCATCCCCGTGGGGTGAGGAGACTCCCGGGCGGTGGGACTGGGGCAGCCTAGCACAGCAGCCACTCTGACATGTGGGGAGGGGCCTGGGCTGGGTTGGTTGGCCCTGTTCCTGGGACAGTCAGGCCTTTGCGTCTGCCCCTCGTGGGATGAGCCTCTGCAGGGGGCCGTCCTTCCTCTGCACTGACCACAGAGCCCGCTCTCCAGGTGTTCCCAGTGACCACCCGGCCTGTCCTCAGAGGCTGGGCAGCATGCCATCCCAGGTGGGAGAGGCTCTGGCCCAGGCTGGCCCCAGTGGCTCCAGGAGGTGGCTCAGCACAGGCCTCAGCTTCTAGGCCACCCCACGTGCTGCCTCCTCTGGTGAGGACCAAGGCCCAGCCCTCTCAAAACAGGCCCAACCTGTCCCCTTCAGCAGCGGCCCTCCCCCTGGCCGGCATCTCCCACCTGAGAATACAAGGGAAGCAACTCAGAGCAGCCCTGTCCTGGAAAGTACCTGGTGTCAGGCCGATGGGCTGGGGTGGGCACCAGGTGGGGGGAGGCAGGACCAGACAGCAGGTTCCAGCCCCTGTCCTGCCACTGACCAGCCACTGGAGCACAGCACAGGCTCCGCCCCTGACCCCATGTCCCAGGTCCTCATGAGGTAGGCCTCTGGTGCTGCAGATGCAAAGAGGCCCCATTGGGATGGGGTGCTATCAAAGTTCTGCCATGTCTGGGCAGACTGTCACCCACACTGGGTGGCTTGGCAGGGCCCTGTCCAACAGGGGTATGTCTGAACCCCGGGCAGGAGGCCCACCCTGCGTGGACATATTTGCCGACAGGCAGAATACTCTCCTGAGATGGTGTGCTGCCCCCAAATCCGGTCCCCTGCACAGGCACTTGAGAACCTTTTGGTGCCTCTTGAGAGCTCGTCCTGCTTCCTGCCACCAAGTGGCACTGCAGCCCCGAGGAGCGGGACCCTGATTGCCTCCCAGCTGCACCCCATCTTCTCTGCCTTGCTAGGGGGCAACCAGCTGATGGGACTGAGGGGCATCAGGTCCTCCACCCTCACAACCCAGCTGAGCAGACTCCCAGGCGAGACCTGCAGGGAGAGTGGCCCTCACCTCTCCCCATGAGCACCATGGCCACGGTTCCTCCTGATGCACCGGGCGGATCCGCAGCTCCAGCCCAGGCCAGGGAGAGGACAGATGCCCGAGGCCCCAGGTGAGAGCTGGTCCTGAGGGAGAGCTACACACCTAAGCCACCTCCCCATCCCAGGGCCTCCTCGAAGCCCCACCTGGACCAGAACCTTCAGCAGTTGTCTGACACCCACCTGCCAGAAGCCAGTCCCCCACACGGTCCCCTGACACCAGTTAGGTTTTCCGATGCATGTGTGAGGCTCCATCAGGTCTGCCCCGATGCCCATGAACAGACATTGGCACTGCCGCCCATGCCCACAGGGCAGGACCATCAGGAGCCTCCCAGCCACGTCCGACCTGGCCAAGGCACTGCTGGCACCCCAGTCCAGGGCTGGCTCTGGCCACATGACCATACCTGCCCTCCCCAGTGTCCCTGGCCAGCAGAGCACTGGGAGATGTGTGGGGGGCAGTCTGACCTGACCAGGGCTCTGTGAGCAGATGACCATGGCCCCAGGGTGCCCATGGGGAAAGGGCAGGAGGGACAAAGAGGGACTCAGGCATGGGTGCTGGAGGTGGTCTGCGTGGGCCTCCACAGAGAGGACACAGGGAGGGACCTAGAGGGGCTGCCTGCAGGCAGGGGATGAGAGGCCGGGTGGCAGGGTGGGGAGGAAGGGGCAGTTGGAGTCTGCAGCTTGGGGACCTCAGCTCTGCCTGTGGGCCTCAGGAGGCCCGTGTCCTGTCCCAGGCCTGTGGGGCGAGTCCATCAGGACGGGGCCAGCCTACCTTCTCTGCCCCCCAATGGCATGCACAGTGTCCCCCACCTTCACACTTGGGTGCTTGCCACTTGGGGGCAGGCAGGGAGGTCCCTGTGACAGCTGGGGAAGCCAAGGTCCCCAGAGAAGGCAAGTCTGTGGCGCAGTCAGGACTGGCAAGTTCTGCCACACATGGCCTCCCCCCAGGGCTGGCAGGCTTCCAGGGACATGAGATGGCCAAGGGCTGCAGGCCACCAGGGCTAGAGGCCAGGGAGCCCAGACACCCTGGGCGGTGCCCTGTCTCCCTGGCCTTCTTCAGCTGGTCCGAGGACATGGAGATGACGTGTGCCCGCCTGTGTTGGGGGTAAACACAGGTTCCCAGGAATAGCACAGGCGTCATGGGCCAGCTGGCATCAGATGACCCAGGGCAGTGCGCACTGCAGGGCCCAGGCGTGAGGCCCAGGCACTCCTGAGGGGCACAAGCCAGCCCAGTACACCAAGTGCCAGGCCTCTGCACATGGGGGCTCCCAGCATGTGGAGCCCAGTGTAGTGGGACAGTGTCCCCTCCCCTCACCAGGCAGGGTCTCATCTGGGGCACTTGGTGGGGTTGGGAACAAGAGGACCCACCTCTGGCTTGGGCTTCCCAGAACAAAAGGCACCCCAGGACAGCCGGGCCTAAGGGGCCAGGGAGGGTGGAGCACAGTGGGCTCACCAGTCCCGAGGCGGGTCGGGGCATCCAGGCCTGCCCTGCACAGGCCACTCCGGGCTGCAGCCCAGTTTGGCAGCCATGTGGTTTGCTGTGAGGAGGTGGGACAATGAGCACGGTGGCCCCGGTGAGCCTAGCTGCCAAGCAGGCATTGCCCTGGGCTCAGCGTTCCCACTCCAGGGGAGCGAATGCCATCTCAAGGGGCCCACGCTCCAGCCCTGGGGGAGGACTGGGCCTGGCTGGGGGTGGCTCTGGGTGTCAGAGATGGGCAGGACTGTCTTGCTGACACCTCCCTCAGTCAGGCTGGGGCTGGGCAGAGTCAGGGCCCTCGTGTGCAGGACAGGGAACGCGGCTCACAGCCCTGACTTGGCTTTGACCTGCCCAGGGAGCTGGGGCAGTTGGTGGGATTGAGAAGGGACTGAGACACTAGGGCCAGCCCTGGGTGGGCCCCTTGCCCAGTCCCCCTCCTTGGGGGTCCACTGGGATCTTGACGTCAGGTGGACACCAGGCCCCTGGACATGGTGTTGTGGGCACCATCTGCATGGAGCATGTGTCTCTACTCCTAGCCCCTCCCAGTGCTGGGCCCCAGGGGCAAGCCCTCATTCGGACCCTCCTTCTACTCAGGAGTAACTGATGGACACAAGAGCCAGGCCGAGCGTCTCAGAACACTGCCTGCAGCCTGGGTTGCCATGCAGCCAGCTGGTCCCTTTCTGCACATGCCCAGTGGCTGCCCTGCTCCGTCTGCTGCTGGGAGCAGGAGGCAGCTGTGGCCTGTTGGAACCAAGGTACCTGAATCTCAGGTGCAGGGTCCTCCAGGAGGCTCTGGAGAGCCCTCTGTTTACCTAAGATACTCCCTGCATCTCCTGCGGGCAGATCAGAAGCCCAGGCCCACTGGCCCTGGGAGAGGAGCAATTTGCATGGCCAATGGGCTGGATCATGCTGTGGGTGGCCAGAGAGGGCCCCATATGATGCGCACTGCACAACTGCAGGGGTGCTGTCACATGGCTGTGGCAGTCTCCAGCACCCCATGTGCCTCCCACCGTCTGCCAGGTGAGGAGGCAGTCCCTGCTCTCAGGAGCATGCGGATGGTGGCCCAGAGCACCTGCCTGTAGTGATCTACACTCGAGACCAGGCCAGGGGCCCAGGGTCAGGGGTGTTGAGGAGTCGACTGGACATCATAGAATGGTCAGTCCCTCTAGACCCTTCCCAAGGCCTTCTCCCTCTATCGTGGAGCCTCAGTTCTGAAGCCCCTGTGAACACTGATGTCCACCTACTGTCCCCTGCCCAGCTGGACAGTCACTCAAAGTGTCTTGGTCCCTAGTGGTCAGGAGTTTAAGACGGGATTCTCTCCCTCCTGGACAGATAGAGGGACTGAGGCCTGATCCCACTTCAGAATGGCCTTGCTGACTGCTGCTCCTCCTGCAGTGCCAGGGGTCACTCTCCAGGTAGGGCTGGCGGGCTGGGGAGGTGTGGAGAGGTTAGGTCCAGGCCCTGCAGGCCCTATGTGTGGAGGCTGTGGCCCTGCAACATGGACACCCAACTCTGCCCCTACCCATCCTGTAGCCGAGGGCTGCACGGCCCCTGCCAGCTGCCCTGGAGCCCAAGGCTCTGTCAGCCCGAGACCCAACCCTGGCGCCTGCGTGCTCTCCCCTTCCAGGTGCTCTCTGGGCCATGCACTCATGATCTCCTGCTGCGTGGGGCTGCCACCTGCAGCACCCCACACCAGCGAAGCCTGGGGCTGGACATGGCCCAAGTTCCCCAGCTTTGCTCCTGCCGCCCCCTTTCCTGGTGCTGACCTTCCCCTGAAGCCCTCCCGCCTTCATACCTGTATCACCACCTGTGGCACCTCTCTGGGGCCCCTCTCCTAGGCCACCCGGCTCTTACCTTCCCAGCTCTGGGTCACCCCCGCTCTGTTCCGACGTCTGCGGACCCTGGGAGCACTGACACCCCTCTGTGGCCAGCACCTCCTCCTTGGAGGCAGCAGGGGAGGCTCTGTGGGTACGGGTGGGCGTGTGTGGGTGTGTGCTGAGGGCAGTGCTGAGGTGGGGTGCCAGCTCCCAGGGCCTCTGCCGCAGCTCAGTGACCACAGGTGGTGGGAGAGACCTGCTTCTGAAAGTAACCCCTGGTGTTCCCTGCTCAAGGCTGTGGCCCTTGTTCTCCCAGGACACCCAGGAGCAGCCTGGGGACCAAAGCAAACTGTTTCCAATAACCCCCTTGGGAAAAGCTCCTCCCTCAAACCACAGGACAGTGCCTGGGATGTCTGCTCTGACCAGCACTGCTGCACCTCAGGACACACGGGGGAGACCCTGGGGTCCCACGGCCCACACACACAGCCAGCTCTCCACACTGCCCCAGCCCGCCAGCCCTACCTGGAGAGTGACCCCAGCAGGAGCCAGGGCAAAGCGGCCTGAGTTCACAGTGCTAACCAGGACCAAGCCCCCACAGCGTCCTTGTCCCCCACAGCCAGACAATCAGCGTCCCAGTGCCTTTGCTCACTGCAGGAGGGACGTTGTGCAGCAGTCCTGGGCAGGGAGCCCCCGCACCCACAGGAAGGCTCTGTGGGATGGAGGGAGGATCCAGAGAGCAAGGGCAGGCCAGCGCTGGGGAGCAGCCAGGAGACCTCTCAGTGAGCCCGCCCGAGGGGGCAGCTGGGCTGGGAGGCTGGTCAAGCGACGGAGAAGGAAACGCAGGGACATGGAAAGAGGGAGGCAGGTGGAGGTGCCGAGGGGCTCCTGGGACGCCCTGCATGTCCCTGCCCGGGGAAGAGAGCAGGAGCCCCAGCACCAGAGGCAGCTGGTGCCCCAGGCTGTGACAGAGCAGGACAGGCTGGCTCAGAAAGACCTGGCCTGGAGGGAGCGAGGGGCAGCGAGCAGAGGGTGCCACGGCCCCCAGAGGCCCAGAGCCCTGCAGCAGAGGTGGGGCTGCTCATGGTGAATGCGGGGGCTGTGAGTGGGTTGGGGACCAGCAGCCCAGCAGAGAGCAGGACCTGCAAGGCAAAGATACATGGTGGGTGTGACCTAAGGCCAGAGGCGCTGGGTGCCACGGGTGTCCCTGGTCCACCAGGACACACTCTGACTGCAGGCCCCAAACAACTGAGCAGGGAAGCAGGACAGCTGTGGGGCCTGGGGCAGTCCCAGGCCACCACTGGGCAGGCGGAGAGTCAGATCTCGGGGTGAGGTGGGCACACAGTAATGTGTGGGAGCTGGACCTGAAGACCGGACTGTTGGGCAGTGTTGGCAGAGGCCGAGCCAGCACCAGCACCCTCCAGAGGCCAGGGCCGCCCTGGGGACAAAGCAGCCACCTAGGGTGAACTGGGCTTCAGGCCAGGTGACCCCCTGGAGCCTAAGGAACCAGCAGCCTGGCCAACTCACTGCAGGGACACAGGCTGGTCCTCTGCCCACCACATATGCGTTCACTGCCCAGTTCCCTTGGCCCCTTCCTGCATAACCCCGGGGTCCATGGCAAGGTCTGGCCTCAGGCATCCCCTTCTGGCTCTTGCACACTCTAAGCACAGGGTGGCCTCTGCCAGCCTGTGACCCCACAGGGGTGGTCCTCCGGGGCAGAGAAACACGGAGACGTTGGGGAGCCTGGTAAAGGCAAAGAGCCCCATTAAGGGGAGAGGCAAATGCAGGAAGCCAGGTCACTGCACACCTGCAACGAGCTGGGTGCCAGAACCCCATGGGAAAGGGTTCCGGGCCTTGCCTAGAGGAGGGGCCTGGAGTGAAACTCCCAGGTCCAATACCTCCTCCATGGGGGTGAGGCAGGAGAGCAGGCCCTGTTACCAGGAGGGCCTGTGGCAAGAGCTGCGAGGCTCCAAAGAGGCGTCACTGTCACTCTTCACTTCTCTGGGCCTCGGTTCCCCACCTGTAAAGGAGCTCAGAGCGAGGGCTCTGTCTCACCGGCCTGTTAGGAGCCGGAAGAGACAGGGTCCTGGCTCCACTGTTTGCTCCCACTCAGCTAGAGTCCAGGACTCCTCAGCGGGGGAGGCCCAGCTAGGGCAGAGGGCACCTACTGACCCCAAATTCAGGTGATAGGGTCCAGCCTGCTCTGGACTCTGCTCATCCTGTCAAGTGATGGGAGTGGGCAGGACCTGGTCTGCTGACCCAGGTGGCAGGGCAGAGGGACCTGCTCTCAGAACTGTCTCCACAGCCAAGAGCAGAGCCTGCAGCCAGGCAGACAGACGCTATGTTGAGATTGGCAGGGTCTTCGCACCACTGCAGCACGCAGGGCTGACCAGGGCTGGCGAGTTATATGGAGGGGCCCTGGGTACCACTGGAGCAAAGACAGGCGGGGCCCTGGGACTGGGGTCCCCCGGAGCCATGGACTACTTTATACCCGGGCTGCAGGGGGACAAGGGTCTGTGGCACACGCCCAGGGGCAGAATGTGCAGTGCAGAGGGAGTGGGGATCTGAGGGCCGCTCTGCCCCTAAGGCCTGCACGGGGAAGGGATGGGCTTGGTTGGCATGGCCTGGGGCAGAGAGGTAGAGGTCTCCCCGACCCTGGGAAGGACTTCCCAGGAGCTTCCCATCCCCTGACAGGCAGGTATGGCCAGAGAGCTCTGGGCCCACTGGCTCTGGGGAGGCCGTCCAGCTCAGGCCTGCCTGGAGCTCAGCTAGGAGTCAACAGAACGGGGGAGGAGCTCCAGCAGCTGCCCTCCTCCCCACCTGGTCAGCAGCACCCTCATGTGCACCACAGCTGACCCCTCTGTGCTGGACACAGCCCACAGGCAACATGGCTCCAAAGCCCCAGCACAGCACCAGGCAGGGACCCACAGAGACCAGGGCGGTGGCCCCAGAGTGCACTCCCTGCGTCCAGAACTGTCAGAACAGACTCAGGCAGAGCAGGCCGCAGCTGGCTGAGGCCCCGCCCAGGCCCTCAGGGGACAAAGCCTGTGTCTGGCCTCTGTGGCACCACCAGCCACTGGGTCACCCTGGCCAGAAGGCTGTGGCCCCTCCCTCCAGGGCAAGCAGGACCCTCCAGGACTCTCCTTCAGATCAGTACTGGTGGCCACTCCACAGGACAGTGGCTCAGTCTGTGTCCTGCCTCTGCCTGGCTGAGTCACCAGGGTCACTCCCTGCCAGACAGGCAGCTCTCTCTCCTAGCCATGCACTGACCCTGTGTGGTCAGCCAGCTCTGTCCCAGATGTCAGTGGGCTCCAGGTGATGGCTCCTTCCAGAATGAGGAAAGGGGTGTCCTAGGGAGGGACCCTGGATTTCGTGGGGCCCTGGAATCACCCTGAGCTGGGTCGTCCCCTCTAGGGAGGGACCGTCACTCCTATGGTATGCCCCACCCCCTGAGGATCAGGTGTGTCCAACTCAGCGACTTGTATTTATAGCTCTGGCTCTGGCCACCTGGGGGGGGGGGAGTGGGCAGGGTGTCAGGTGGAAGAGGGGGCTGAGTGTGTGCGCAAGGGTGCGTGTGTGCGTGCGTGCCTGGGTGGGGGCCGCTCCTGGAGCAGGTGCTCCTGGAGGGAAGGAATCCAAGAAGTTGACCCAGCCAGAGCACGGGAGGACAGGGTCCGTCTGGGTCCCGGGGAGGGGGAGGGGCTCGCTGGGCGCGATGGGGAGGGACCCGGCGCCCGGCCCGCACCTGGCAGCGGCTGACGATGTCGGCGTCCGTGGCCAGCAGGTCCACCACCTTGCCTTTGCCCTCGTCCCCCCACTGCGCGCCCAGCACCACGGTCACGCGGGAGCCGGTCGCCGCCGCCTCCTGCTGCATCCGCCCCCGCTTGACGCCGCCCGCGCCGGGGGGCCGGTCGTTGGAGGCTCGGGTCCCCGACATGCTGGCTCGGCTCGTCCGCTGCGCTGGGCTGCCCGGGAGCCCGCCGCGGCCCGCGTGCCCGCGCCATTAAATGCCGCGGCCCGGGGCGGGGGGCGGGCCGGGGGCGGGTCCGGGCGCTCGCGGTGACGCGCCTCGGTGACCTGCGGCCCTGCGGCTGCAACTACCGCCCCTTGGTCGCCGCTGCCCGGGAGCGCGACGGGTGGTGGGTATGGCGGAGGCGCACCGACACACAGCAGTGGACGCCGGTGTCCCGCGCGCGACCCCCGCAGGTGAGCCTGTCCTGCCTGCAACCGGGATCGCTGTGCTTCGTCCCCGCCCCGCCGGACTTGCCGGGCCCAGGACTTCAGGGTTCGAAACTGCGGTGGTGGCTCTCCCCGACTGGGCGCGAGTGTGGTTTGCAACCGGGGCTGCGTCTTCGCGCGCACCTGGAGGGTCCTCTCTCCCTGCCTCACTTGCCCGCCGTAAACCCCGGAGTCCTCCGACGGGCGCGCGCCCCCTAGCGGTCCTGGAGAGACGCGCATGGCGCCCTCTCAGGTCAGTGTCCTCCTCTATGCACTGTACCGGCCCCGGGCACTGTTGCGCTGGGTCTGGCTGTAGCGTGCAGGTGGGCTGCAGCACCCAGCCCTCAGTAGCCAAATTTGGGGTAGAGGGACCACGCTGTCAGGGTCACCTGATGTGCACCACGTCAAGGTAGGGCCTAGGTTTCCAAGAGCCTCCAGACCAGACCTCCCTCCTTTCCCAGAGGAGGGACTGAGGGCCCAGAGCGTTGGCCACGTTCTGCCGGCGCCTGTGCGCCCGGTTGGGTGCACTGCTCACACCCCTCAGGTGGACCTAGCTTGGAGGGCTAGCCTGTGACTGTAGGCCTGGAGGAGGCTAGCCCCGAGCTGGAGAGGGGGCCTCGAAAGGGCCCAGGCCTGGGAGACACTGCCTTCCTTCTCTCCCTGGGGGCTCCCTGTGCAAAAGGGCCCGAAGCTGACTGGCTCACTTCTGGATGTGGCTCACAGAGCTGCCAGGGCCCTTGGGCTCCTGAGGTGGCTCTCAGGTCCATGGTAAGGAGTGCAGGGTGACTGGACAGTGTCCATGAGGAAGGCTGTGGACCCTTGGCTTGTCCCAGAATAGGAGAGTGCTGCAGCCCCTGCCCTCCCCCTCCTGTGGCCTCTTCGCTCTCTTCTTCCCCCTCCCCCCCGGAGACCTAGCCCCGTCCCCTCAGCCTGTTCCAGCCACGTAGTCTGCACCAGCTGCCCTTGCCCTGCTCCTGCCAGGGCAGGTCCCTCTGGACACTCCCTGTCCCTGGGTTGCTGTGGTGTGAGAATGCCTCCTGGGGTTGCAGCAGTCCGGGGGGCCTGGAACTGGGAGACCGAGCTGCAGCCTTTCCACATAGACCGCATGACCTGGCCTTGCTGCAGGGCAGTGGTGAGGCAGGGCAGAGGGCCCCTCCAGGGAGGCAGAGCAGGCTGAGGTGCAGCTGGGGGTGCAGCAGACAGCAAGGACAGGGCCTTATCAGGGGAAACCGGGGTCGCTTGCCAGGGCTTCGTGTCCAGGAGAGAGGAATTGGGCCTGTGAATGCCCAATTTAAACGCACATCAGACAAAGGGTGCTTGCCCTTGTCCCACTGGGCACTAGCTCTCCTCACTGGGGAGACCCTGGGCTCAGGGTCAGTAGGTGTGAGTCAAGGTTTGGAGGAACCAGGAGCCACCTTGATGGCCCTACCATGGGGGCTTAAACAGGCAGTTCAGGGCCAAAAGCTGGCCTGGGGCACTGATTCCCCCAGGCCTGAGACTATAAATAGCCATGGGCCCCAATGGGGGGGCAGGGCTTTTCTAAAAACAGCCCTGTCCAGGCCCCACAGCTGAGGCCCAGACAGTCACATGGCCCTTCCCAAATTAGAACACCCCCCCACCCCCCCTGCAGCAGGCCTGTCACCACAGTGGGCACCACAGCAATCCCAAAGCCGGGGACTCCCAGCCTTGAAGCTGTGCACCTCAGACAAGTGGCCTCAACACCACATTGTGGGCCCAAGGGCCACCATGGAACGATGTCACAGATGGTGGCCAGGACACACACAGATGCTTGCACCTACGCAGCATCCATGAACCGGCTCTGTGGCAGGGACCCAGCTCCCGCTGGGTTGGTGTTCGCCCTGGTTGTAACCTGCTCAGCTGATGTGGGGGGAGGGCAGTGAGGACAGGGCCCTGGAGGCGCCTGACTGTGGGCCGCCTGCCCACCCCTGTAAGGAGGAGGGTGGGGGCCCCACAGGGCACACAGTCCAAGCTGCGTCCTTCACAAAAGTGACGGATGGGTGGAGACCAGGCACGCGGTCTGGAGCCCGCAACATGGCAGAGCGAACCTCGGAAACAGGCAACAGGCCAGCCACAGAAGGTCGTGTCCAACCTCCCTCACACGAATGTCCAGCAGAGGCAAACCCATGGGCACAGGAAGCCGGTGGGGCCTGCTCATGGGAACACTGGGCTCTCCGGAAGCACCCCAGGCCTGCTGGTGGTGGCTTCATGGTCCTGCAGGCAGCCAGGGCTCACAGTGGGCACAGTTTGCAGGATGCAAGTCATGCCTGGCCCATGCTGTGGTCAGGGAGTGCCCACCACCTGGGGGCCTTGTCTTGTGCCATGGGGGAGCAGGCAGGCCTGCTTTCCCACTTCCCCAGGGCCCCCAGGCCCTCACAGCTGCTCTGGAGTGAACACGTCAATGCACGTTTCCATGAAGCAGAGAGGGCTGCTGCTGGCCATCGAGGAGGACCACCATGTGCCCTCAAGGAAAGCAGAGGTCTAGCACCAATCTCAAGGTCGTGGTGGCCTGCCCGTATTGGACGGGCTCTCTGGACAGTGCCCAGGGAAGTCCTGGGAGAAACTGGCTAAACCCAGGTGGCTGGGCAAAGGGCGGATGGACAACAGCTGCTGTGAGAGGCAGGGAGGGCTGAGTCTGGCTCAGCAGGCTTCCAAGTGTGGGCCCGGGCAGTGGCTTGGGAGGCACCGTGCCTTGTTCCCTTCTGGGTGGGCGCGGCCCAGCTTGAAGGAGCCTTGCAACAGGGCACCCCGCCTGCCTCCCTTCACCAGGGGATCTGAGGGGCCTGGGTGCAGGTGCTCGGGCCCGATGGCTGCTCAAGTGCGCAGCTGGCTCTGCAGGCCCCGGCCCAGCAAACCTGACAACCGCAGCAGCTCACAGCCAGGCCTGCTTGGATTTTTTGGGAATTGAACCCAGAGGCACTTTACCACTGAGCTACCTCCCCAACACCTTTTAGTTTTTATTTTGAGATAGGGTCTTGCTGAGTTGCTCAGGCTGGTCTCAAACATGCAGTCCTCCTGCCTTAGCCTCTTGAGTCACTGGGATTGTAGGTGTGGGCCACCATGGCTGGCTGCGGCACTGATATATTTTTAAGCTGTAGATGGACACAATGTCTGTATTTTATTTATGTATTTTTATGTGGTGCTGAGGATCGCACCCAGGGCCTCAGTGCTGTGCTCGGGGACTGCCCACCACAGTTATTCACATGTGCCAGGTAAGTGCTCTGACACTGACCAACAGCCCGGCCCCTAATTTTTTAAAAAATTTCATCTAGAAGGTGTTTGCTTCAAACCCCTGCACTGTCTCAACCTGCCACCCCTCCCTCTGTCCCTCCGCCCACTCTCCACAGGAAGAGTGCTGAGGGGGTGCCTGCCCTCGGCCCCAAATTCCCTCTGGTATAAGTGGGCGAGGCACCTGAGGGAGGCTCTGGAGAGGCAGCAGACTCCAGTCTGGACCAGGGAGAGCCCTGTCCCCCTCTGCTCCACCTCCTGCTCCCCTTTCCACAGGGCAGAGACCTTGCTCACCATCCCCTGCCCCGCCTGCTATCCCACCCACTCCCTGCCCCTCTCTTCCCTCCGCCATCCCCCCAGCTGTTGGGAAGGCACCGTAAGTACCCCTCCACCCAGCCCACGGCTCGGAACACATGGTCACAGCTGACCAGGCTTGGTGTTTATTGGTCAAGAGTCCCTGCTGGCCTCCAGCCTCCTCAGCACACACCTGGGGGTGGGAGGAGGCAGGGCCGGGCTGCCCCTCACAGGGCAGATACTGAGGAGACCCCAGCAGCTGCTGAGAGCCACCATGTGGCTGCGCAGGTGGACCCTCTCCATCCCTTGGGGCCAGCCCAGCGCAGGGTTGGCAGGCCTGGCTGTGTCCGGAGGCAGACCCCTCCCTACCTCCAGGGGCCAGAAACGGAGGGGACCTGGGCCTGCCCACAGCAGGGCCCGCCTCACCCTAGGCCTGGAGCCCCCTCACCGTCCCCAAGCCAGCTGCCTCGGAACAGTAAGGCCTCAGGGGACAGCATTCCAGTTAAAAAGCAGCTGAGCAGTGGGAGGCTGGGCAGGGGCGCTGTGCCCACTACAGGGGCCCAGCTCCCGAGGGCCGTGGAGGGCCGTGGAGGCGATGCAGGCAGATGGGAGGAGCCCACTGTGGCACATGCAGGCGCAGGGCTGGGTGGTGGCTGAAGAGCAGACCACCAGGTGGGCGTGCAAGAGGCCCAGGGGGGGAGGGCGGGCCCAGGGCATGGGTGCCTGCGGGGTTCCAGCCAGGACGACCCAGGGAGGCTTCCGGAGGCCCTGGCTGGGCAAGGCACGGAGGTTTGGTTCTCAGGGCTCAGTCCCAGCCTGGCCCTGGAAAGCTTCATTCATTTCTAACATTACATCCAGCTGCCCACTGCTGTGCCCAGGCCTCTCTCACTTGGCTTTGGGCTTGGGTCTGAGGCCTGTGGAAAGGAAGAGAAAATGACATCATAAGAAACTATCTTGCTGGGGACGACTCTGGGTGCCCTCTTCAGGGTCCTAGGCCCCTGCACTCCTCTACAACCATTGGCAGGACTGAGTTATGTATCCCAGGTGCACTCTGACCCCAGGGTCTTTCCCTGGGGCAGCAAGATTTATCCAGGTGGAAGGTACCTACATGATGTGAGCAGGAGGCACCTGTGGAGGCCCATTTCCGCAAGGCTTGGTGCCCTGAGCTGTACCCTCTGCTGAGATAGGACACACTCACTGATCCTACCCGGAGCTCCCTCCATGCCTGCCCCTCCTGGCCCCTCTGCTGGACTCTGTCCTGCCTGTTCTCCATTGCATGCTGAGAGCCCCAGGGCTCAGTGCCCGCAGTCCCCTCAGCTGGATCGCCTCCCTGCTGACCCCACAGGTGCCCTGTCCCCAGCACCCTGGCCTCCTGTCCACGGCCTTTACTCAGCTGTCCCAAGAGCCGTCCCTTACTGCCACCCGGTACAGGGTACAGGCGGTATCCT